ACACCTAACTGGCTAACAGCTCTAGCACATTTCCATAACTTAGAACCTTCCAAGTGGGAAGGCTGTTGGAGTGCGCCTCCAAGATGTGCCAGTTAGTTGTAGAACGTTAGTACCGTCGGTCAGTGTCGTGCAATGTTATCGCATGAGCTGATTGTTTAGTAACTGGTGGTGTTGGTGAACAGTATAGCGTAACTTGTAGTTCCTTGGTCTTTCTCTTTTGTATGAAATTGTTATACTGGATCTTTCCATAGGGCACTATACTCGGCCTGAAAATCTTAGACAAGTGACAGTTGAAGTAAATATGCTGAGATACTTGGATGCTTGTATGAAAGCTAAACCATAGCTTAGTGGTTCAGACATCGCTGGGCTTCAATAATGGTGCTCGCGGCCAATTCGTTAACATCTATTTTTCCCCTTTCAACACCCTGACCTGGTAATATTGCAAGTGATAATCCCGTAAAAAAGCTTTTGCGTTTGCGTTATCACTGACGTGTCCGTTTGGGCACTCTGGCAAGATACTATTTGGTTTGGTTTAAATCTTGCTTTGGAAACGTTACTGTTCATTGCTGTAAATTAGGGGCAGCATAGTCGTAAAATTCCTGAAAAATCGAATTTGTAAATTCATATCGAGTGCTACATCAGTTGAAAGAGCATGAACAACTGCAAACTCTGAAGAACATTTTGTCTCGATCTGACCAGCCGTTTAGAAGTTATGGACGAAAATGTGCCCTTGCAAAGAAAGATTTTTTTTGCACGCTGTAATTTGTTTTCAGCACTGTATTTGAATGTGAGCAAACCGTGCGCAACTTGTCGTATCATGGAAAGACGCGAAAGTGTGCAGAATTTTGCTCCAAGTCCAAAATCACGTTTTTTAGCCACGTACTGGGCTGCACGGCGGCACCCTCGTGACGTTGCAGATATGTGGCTTGAATATTGTAGTTCACGTTGATTTAGTGACTTTGGCAAGTTTGAGTCGTGTCAAGAAGTCAGGTAGGATTCAGTAACAGGCAGTAGTGGAATGTGAGTGGTAGTCTTTGCCGATTTGTGAGGGTATCCTGGATTTGGTTTGCAGCCCTGTGGAAATGGCTTGCTGTGGATGTCCCAGCACTGGATGTTGTATCAAAGCTACGACCTCGTAGCGCACCCTAAACCTAAAAAAATCAAAAATTGACTTGGGTCTGTGGGAGTCTGTGAGAGAACGCCCACCCCTGTCGTTGTGACAGATTCCATGGCCACGTTCAGGGGCCCTATCCCACAACCCATGGCTACTTCTGGACATTTTTTAGGTTTGGATCCCACACACGGACAGAATGGGCAAGAAAATGTGAAAAATGTAAATGCATTTTTTTGGCTCCTGGGTGACTCGCACACCGTGTCACTGTGCCGGAATTTTGGGGTTTTCGGCTTGGAAACCCTGTCCGTGAGGCGCAAGAACTTTTAAATCATGTCCAGAAGGGTAGCATAGTGGCAGGAGTGTGTGGTGAAGATTTCACGGAAATCCATTGAGAGACACCAAAGTAACGGTCAATTGAATGCCATAAGAAATAATTATTTACGACCAGGCTGCTACCTTAAGTTCGCCCTCATTTTCTTTGTGCCGTGCTGATGAGTCCACAAAGGACGAAACAATTCTATCCGGAGATTGAGTATTTCGCTCCTCCTCTTGTACCAGTTGAGCTCTCTCATGTGGGTTAGTGCCTTGCTGTTTGCGTTATGCAGAGCTCACTGGCTTGTCAGTTTGAGCACGGTGGCATGGTACGCTCGGGGCTGGTTTTAATCTGTCTTTGGAAATTTCATTTTTCATCATACAAGACATGGGCTGAGTAAACCTATAATAACTAAAACGACTTTTTGGGTCAATTTTTTAAACTTTTTGATCTACTATGGCTAGACACACTGGTGCAGCCGAAATGTGGGATCCATATGACACATATAAATGGTTCAAATCAATACTTGAAGTATTGCACATACAAGTTCAGTGTTTCAGGAAATGTATGTCATCGTTTCTGTTCTGAGCTTCGGCTGGTGGAGCTGACAGGCCATTCCAGGAGGTCAATCCCATGAACTATGCCCATGGGAGATCTTCACCAGGTTCAGTTGAGAGAAAATGAGAGATTTCCTTTTCCAGGTAGGTTTTCCGATAATCTGAAAGTTCCTTCGCGGGTATTTCCGGCGGCAGAAATTCAGGATCTTTTGGCGTAGCGACTCCATCTCTGACGATTGCGATTTTTGTAGCTGCACCATCAGGTATTGTGCAACACAAAATGCGGTTTGCATTTTCAATGTTCATGTTGAAGTTCTGGTAGTTGAGGATGCCTTTGATCGGTTTGAACCACTGCAAGAGAAAAGCATCCCACTGCCGCCAGCTCAAGGAGAACATCACCGCTTTGTTCGGCCCTAGGGTCCAGCGGATTCTACCGGCAGAAAAATTGGCAGAATTCGGTACTTTGTCTGGTAAGTCTCATGCATGTTTGGTATGTGGATAAAGATATGGAGCAGAATTCGAGGAATTGCCCGCCATAAGGTTTGTATGGTTCTGCCAATTTTACTGCTTTTCGAGCAGAATCTGCCACCTTTTCGAGTAGAATCCGCCGGTCCCCATACACGACGAGTTGACTGCATCTTCCACATCATGCATCCTGTCATTCTCTTTGGATCCCCATTGGCGCTTTAGCAAGCCAAAGTGGCCATCCACGGCGAAACGTGTATGCTCCACACGCATAAAATATATCGTGATGTCATCGCTGAGCCCCATGAGACACGGCCACATATGGTAGGCCATCACACTTTTATTCTTGTGTTGTCCCGTGCAGTTGTCAGCATGAAAGTGGAGTGTCCTCTTTACACCTGTATGCTCTAAAGAGTAGTGCAGCATGGACAAGACGGCATTCGACCAATGGGCTTTGCTACTATCCGCACTTATGCACTGGTCCTCTCCAAACAGAAAGCTCCACTGCTCGTGCTTGGACTCCTGGACAATGCCAAAGAGCTGGACACGAACGGCCACCTTGCAATACAGAGGTCCAACTTCTCTAGTGTTGCAAGGAAGTTCCAACTGCTGCGCAAAATTTGAAGTGGCATGAGTGGTCCCTTCATCTTCCAAATCCGAAGAAGCTTTGGAGCTCGGATAGCTTTGTTGTAGTAGACCCGATCAGCACTGGTTTCGTTCAAGTAATCCGTCAGTTCATCGGTCGCCTTTTTGTCTCTTCTTCTGTTCGAGAACTGCTGACCATGTAAGGGAGCCTGTCATACTTTGCGGAGACATGGGATCTCTGCGTCATGACTCGGATATGGGGAAGATGCGCCTTCCACACCCCTTTCTTTCAGAGCTTCATTGCCTTTTTGTGCAACATGACCTTCTTGTGGCTTGCTGATAAGTATACAGATGGTTGATGCAGGTGATGGCGAGGTCCGGCCGGTTGTGGCATGCCGTGCACACTTGCGTACACCTCCACTAAACGAACAATTTGTTACACAATTATTATTTCCTGTGTTAGGGAGTGTCCGCGAGGAATATTTTTCATAATCCCCGAGGCGCTGCGCGCCTTGGGGATTTGAAAAAGAATCCCCTCGGAACCGTGCAATATCCTCTACATAGCGGAACGTCCTGCGCTCGGCAGCACTACTTTTGGCAAGATGCTGCGAGCCAGCTGGCCCAGCACGCATTGTTTCAAACTAGCCTTGTCCAGTTGCTTGATTGACACCATCAGGTCGCGCAGGTCGCGGTAATGAGTAGTCCCCTTGCACTTCCAGCCTGTGGGAGCGTCCTCACGTAGACCGATCAAATCCGATTCGATTAGTGCCGCCAGGTCCAGCTCGCCTACGCGATTGACGCGGGTTTGCAAGGAGGACTCGCTGCAGCTCTCTTCGCAATCAGGGAAGTACTCATTGTTGTCACTGCAGGGTGCGGCGACGGCTGCTGCTGTCGAAGCCTGGCGAGAGCGTTCTGCTGCTGGAAAGTTGTCGTCGTCTTCGGAGCTTGAGTCGGAGGTGTCGACACCTGCCGCTTCCGCTGAGGATCGACCAAAGAAGTCGTCGTCCAGATCCTGCAGCTCCGCGAAGCTGGCGTCGTCTAGACCGACTGCATCCAGTCTTCGACAGCTCATGATTGATGTTCTCGTGACCTCTTCAAACTAATCGCTGGAACTTGAACAAGGTGATAACAAAGGTGACAAGAATTTTGACTGCACGCAAGCTCAAAATCAAAATTAATCGAATTTTCACAACTCGTTTTGTGTTTCGCTCATTCCAACATTATCAAAATTCCCTCTTAGTACGGTTTACTCAGCCGATTACGCATTATAATATAAATTTTCACATCGTGCTGGTTGCAACAACACTGCAAGCCTCAAAACGGAAAGTGTTTATCTGCAGTTCATTTTCTGATTGCTGGACAATTACTCCGAGTTCAATATTACTCTGTACCAAACTGCAGACGAGGGCCAGCCTCTGGGCCGATGGCTCTTAAGTTGTTCCGACCAACACGTTGGAGACATGTTATGCTTCTTGTAAAAATTATGCAATTTGTTGATTCAATTTTGGTGATGACTGACGTCGATACATGATCGTGGTGAAACTCTTTCAAACGTGCGGTCCTGAGGGGCTGTTGCTAATCGGAGCCTAAAAAAAACCAAATTTGAATATTTTCACGGCGCAGACGTGTCACGTTTCTTGAACAACCTGCGTGTCGGTCGAAACCCTCAAGTTCCGCTTGGCTAGGCATGGCGCAAGAAAAAGACGTGGGAAAATGGCCTGCTGGCATCAACGAGCTGCGAACCCTACTTCCGATAATGTACGGACCGTTTGCCACCATTCACACAAATGGTCTCCACTCGCACATGAACGCTGCTGATCCCTCCATGACGACATATTTAAGAATTTTGGCATATAAGATTGCTCTTGGAGTTATCACTGACACCATTTCAGTTTTCATCCTTGGGGTAAAGTCCACTAACAGGTACAAGTTTGAGACTTGATAATCTTGGAGAAAAAATCTTTTCCTGCCGCCTAGTTTTGATGTAGATAGTAACGGTATCGTCTGTCGGCGTCTGGAGTTGGAAAGGCTTTTCACATTGCCCGGTATTGAGGTGAGTGCGTTTTGGGTTTCAGCCGTTTCATCTTTCACGCAGTGTATTGTAGGTCAAGTCTGATTCAGAGCAGGACAGATATTCTTGTCTTTTCCCGCGTAATGCCATCATTTTGGTATGTGTTTGCGGAGCTTTGTTGTGGTCTTTCCACGCAATCGGTCAGCTTGGATCTGCGTGCCCTGCAGACAAAAAACTAAAGGTTATGATAGTGCTGCATTGCTCGAAGTTCCCAGATGCTATCGCTAGTATATCTCCGGACATCCGCGACCTCTTGGACAATGAAACGTGATCCTGAGCTTGTTACTTTGTCGATTTTATCCGATTACTTCTATCCGAACAAAGATACATTCGCACATGTGCTTAAAATTTCGAATAATGCTCTTTATGCTAAAACTGCTCAATGCCCAATAAGTGCAGTCTGTAGACGCCGGCGCTTATTATGGTTTGGACATGTCATTCGTGAAGGGAAGGACGCTGTGTCCTACAAAGCCCTTCACATGGCAATGAATATAACACATATAAAGAAGCCCAGAGGTCGCCCATTGACCAGATGGGTAGACAACATTAGGAATGACCTTTACTTCTCAATATGTCTCTTTTGGAAGCAACTTGCCTCAGACAGAATGCACTGGCTCGACGTTGTCGACAGATGCATAACCCTCATTTGATCTTTCACATGAGCTATATGCGTGCTATATTATTATTATTTTTATTATTATATGCTTCGAAGTATTCAAAGTACCGACTCAGTTCACGATCAACAAAAAAGCAACTGTTCAATATGTGGTATTGGAGAGGCATGAGCTGTTTCAAAGAGCTGGACTCTAAGCTTATCATATCTGCCGGTAGCTAGAAAGGCGCTTCTATAAAACAAAGGCTCACATCATCAGTGAACCGGGGCAGGTGGATATCTCAGGCTGTGCCCAGTGTTTCCAAGCTGTGCTTGGTGCCAGTATGCTGAACCCATTTAAGCAGGACATTCTGTACTATTCGTGAAAGCATGTGGTTATGGCCCTTAATTAACGCATTCATTGTCTTAGCTACGGTTGCATTTTCAAATCATTCGCGGATTCCACATGAAGAGAGTATATGCTGTGTAATGAATTAATTATGGTTCCCTCTAAGAATATTGCGGCAACACAAAAGAAAATAACGTTTACATGCTCGTGACAGCACCCTCTATATAATTGTGTTGAAGAACACAACCAGCTTACAAAGCTTCGCTTGTGTCAGGCCAACACCATTCCTGGCATAACAGGGTGGCAGACCCAACCCCTGTTTGGGGAAACAATCAATTCCCTCTAGTCAGACATATCCGTGGGTGCTAAATCGGCACGTGAAACACATCGATATCCTCTTTAGCCACACTCGCTTGGTCAGGAGCCGACGCTGAACCCAGTACTGGACTTGATATCCATATACGTAACGGTCGTACTGTTAACCATCCGCCACACTAGCCCGTATTATATGCAAACCAGAGCGGGTGTTGTTGCTTCAGTAGAGTAACATCTGGTCACGATCAGCGCTATTTCTGGTAATCTCAGTCAAACATCCCAGCACTGATCCTTTCCTTTCGATCGCTTTCGTCTGATGGCGAGCAGTGGCTTTTAGTGTTTACAAGAGATGATTTGCGAAACAGTGAGTGCTTTGCAGGGGTTGGGGATTGCGTACAACCTGTTGTTAGCAGATGCCCACGGAGCATCGGAAATATTCATGTGACCGGAACAAGTGACAAAAGTTCTACCTACTCTGCTGCACAGTACATAGGATTGATTCATGTGATGCCAATGCTATCACTGAAGTGCAATGCACAACATCGCTCCCGCGACACGATTGGCGACGCTCAATACGATCAGCTGTTTGTTGCAGCCTTGTCACAGGTCACAGGAGCCAAGTTCTACGTTGGCAAAGCGCGATGTGCAATGCGTATCACTCCTTACTTATCTGTGTGGCGGTAGGGCATTACGTTTAGCCTTTTGTTACCACATGCCCATGAAGCATGGGAAACAATATTGATGTGACCGGAACTAGTGACAAATGCTCCAGCTACTCCACTACACAGTACATAGGATTGAATCGTGTACTGCTTTTATTGAAGCGCCACTCTAAATATCACTCCTGCGACGCGATTAGCGGAGAGCAATACGATCTGCAATTTGTCACAGGTCACATCACGGAAAGTTGAGCGAATTACAACTCCTGCAACCATCAATGAGCAATGTAATATCAAAAAGTATTCTTTCTAGACCAAAGAGTGGTATATTTGATAACATTTAATAACGATAGAAATTTTTACGATACTTCTCCAGACGTTTCGTTGTTCTGAACAACATCGTCAGTGGATAAAGAATCAATAATCAACGGCTTGTCCACCAACTCAATGAGCAATGTGTTTCACTTCATACATACATGCCCGCCCACATCATGCAAGCTAGAGCACGGTTTTCAAACATGTGTGGTATGCTAGATTTCCCAGTGATGTGTGGTCACGTGTGGTTATTTTACTCTTGGCGATGTGCAACGTACGTGAAACACTCCTCGCGCGATATGAATAAGACTTTCGTACCGCTAATTGCAAAGAAGTAGAGAGGTTCTGCTATACGTGAAGCGTAGAGACATCACGTAGAGAACAGGTGTCTGGGTTAGCGTCTACCGCTTCGCGTGTTTTGGGTCCAGATTTCTACGCTTAGATGAGGTTCTCTACATTGTGGCACACGCAAAGAAAATGCGTACGGATCTGCTGGGTATCATTCAAGTGCAGGCAGAAAACTGCCAAATATGGAAGGGGAAATTCCCAGTACACATTCCCCGTGACTTCTCTACGTGAAACGTAGAGCAGAACAGGATTTCGCTACGTTACGGGAACGTGAAGAGAGTTCGCGTGATTCTTTGCGTCGCGTTCCCGAGACGTACAGCAAAACCTCCCTAGTATCGAAAAGTATATACCCAAATCAAGCACTGTGGGCCAAAAAGTGCAGATGATCATTGTCAGTCGTGTCCCACCTTCAATCACATTTTGCCACAAGAGTATGGGCATGCGTGCAGAGGACACGCTGTGAAATTCTCTGTGAAAATAACAGCGCTTTGTCAATGTACAGAGTGCAATAAGAAGACAAACCTACAGCGAAGTGAAGCAAGGATTTCTTTCACACTGGCCTTTTTCGTGTATCCAGAGCAGAGTAAAACCGATTTCTGGTCTTGGTAAAATGTGTAAATAGCATAGACCAACAAAATGCCTCCCTTAACACGCTGTGATGTAGCGCATTGCGTTAGGGATTTTTGCATTTGGGTTATATGTGTATGCAATTTCTGACCATGTTTCCTGTAACTTACTTTTATTGTTTGAAGATTGCAAGCCTAGCCCAAGAAGCACTGTTACGGTTACAGCTCTTCCGAATTATAATGCGCAACAAAATGGCATCGCAGCTCCGTGCAATCCATATTTTCGTTGGACTGGCTATTCTCGTCACAGAACTGCAGGCCTTGAAATATGCACGTAAGCAACGAATCCTCAACTGTTTCGTTTCAAATACATGTACATGTAGTTTAATGTTCGTGGTTCAATAATGTAAAGGATTCACTACTCGTAGAGTTCTCTTGAAAACTTTAAGACAATTATTTATGAATGATCTCAAAGAAAACATGTCTTCGAACGCTCTTTTGTAGTCTCTGTCGCCTTCGCTGTCGGTTCTTGTTCCAATCCCTTGCCATTATCGTCACCAACGAGTAATCCGTTTCCTCATCTTGTGCTGCTGCCTCTGGTGTTAACGTAGTTGATGTTGTTTCAGGCGTCGTTGCCATCTTTGGTGAGATCGTCGTCGTCGGCGCTGTCGTAGCTACTGTTGCTATTGCTGGTGTTTACGCCCTCTTTTGGAACGCATACCACTGAATTCAGGTTTGGGCCGACATTTATGACCGTTCTATTATCAGCGATGAACGCTGTGGATTGAGAAAACATTCTTATTGCTTGCTTCCTTTTTCATACGAGCATAGTCAGCATACCCATGAGTCTTCATTATAATTTTCCTTCTTATATTTCGAAAATGGTGTCATCAGCGACGCAATCCACACAGTCAAGTAAAGCTAATTTAGTAACCGAACATTTTTGTATTTGTTCCCTTCTCATCGAGGATATTATTATTAGTAATAGAAGCTTCTCGGCGTTGGTCTCAATGGCATGTAGATATACACAACATATAATTATGGCGTTCGCATATGCCGAAGCGACAACAGCCAAACTGGATATTGATGGCGATATGAAGCGTGTGACGAAAATAGGATACAATTAAAAAGAGCAAACGAACAGCTCAACCGGGTTGAATTTGAATTAGCTGTTCGTTGCCAGGGTTCATCCGTGAGCTGTAACATATCTCTCCAGGATATGGCCGCTGAGATAGCTCCACACCAGCTGTTCTGGGCGATGTTCCTCAGCTCCTCAAGATCTGCCGAGGTCTTGAGAGTCCTCCCAAGCAGCTCGAGATCGTGTCTGAGCAGGACCGACAACGTTGTGCCCGGCCTGCCCCTAAAGGTAGGCTCAATGCATGGCTTGAAGTAAGAGCACATTGACAGGTTCGCACGTGCATTCTGGTCCAGCCGAGCACGTGCCCAAGCAGACGCCAGCGGGCTCTCAGGACCGAGATACCAAGTGGTGTTGAGTTTGTCCTCGTGCACAGGGTGTTATTCTTGATCTTACCTGGGTACCGTATGCCAATAACTTTCCGCAGTTGCTGTCTGTGGAACGCATCAACTCTGCGCATAGCGGTGTCAGTGAGGCCCTAAGTCCCGTTGTTGTAGCACTGGACTGCTAAGACGAATGCCTTGTATACCGGTACTCTTAGTGATTCGTTTACAAACATGGATAAGTACTGGGAACAATGGAAAATGTCAAAATACAGCAACTTATAGAGCTAACAGAAAAGCATAGATCCAGAACCTCAGGCTAAACGCGTGGAGAATATAGAATTTAGCTGCCTAGTTCAATGGTAGGATGAAGGTAAATAGAGGACTAGAAGATAAAATAAACATCAATGGGGAGCAGCATTCCTGACACCTTCGCGAGGATTAGCGCCAAAGAACTGAAGTGGCAAAACATTGTCCTTCTGGACACATAGTTCAGGAAACAACTTACGAATTCCGGTATATAACACTTCCAAAGAGACAAATGTAATACAGATCTGGCACCGGTCAAAACTGAGAAAACATCATCTCTGTAAAAATCACGACAACTATTAATAACGCACAGATGACTCTGGATGGTGAATTGCTGATTGTTGCACATTCGCGTCTTTTTCGTCGCCTCCAATGTCGCAGCTCCTGACCCGTCGTTTCCACTGTCTAGTCGCTTTGTCATCACCTCCGATGCTGCAGGTACTGACTCGTCTCGTCCACCACAGCGTCTGGTCAATCGTCCGTGGTTTGACCTTTCCATTGTTATGATCGATGGCTTTCGTGGTGGTCTTTCACGCTTCCTCCCACTTAAGCTGGTTGTCACTTCCAGTACCGCCGTCTGCTCGTCGGTTGTCACTTCCAGTACCGCCGTCTGCTCGTCTCCTCTAGTGCACATACTCACGTGGCTGCGAATGAGTCATCCATTCAGTGTCCCTGGCATGGTCTTCTTAGGTTTTGTTTTCACAGCTCTGCACCGCTTTCCCTTTCTGACTTGGGTTGACCCAAGCCCAAGCCCAGCACATGCCATCGATGAAAGAGTCGATTGTCCTGTTGCGCCAGACGATACCTTGGACTGCGACAATGCTTCACGTGGCGCAAACTCAGTAGACGCACATTTAGGAAGACGACCGCGTCGGGGACTAGAATCACGTGGGTGTACAGGGACAAACCTCAACGATACATGCTGAAGGATTCATGTACCAAGGTGCTGAATAGTTTTGCCCACACTGCTACTTTGAAGCGTTGCAGCGCTGCCTTGGATGGGGGAGCGTTCAGGATGGTAGAGAGTAGAGCATTCCATGTTGTTAGTAGGCCGAACGGGAAGGATCGGTGTAGGATGTCAGGACTTGTTGGGGGAGGGGTTTGATAACTGGAAGGCATGGGAGTGTTTCACTTGATGTTGGTGGCGGGTTCTGGGGCGGGCGGGCTCAGGGGCAGCAGGTGGCAGTATGTCTGTCAAGTGGGCTGGACTGGTAATGTAGTGCAGCTTGAACAGGTAGCACAGTCCTGAGACTTGCCGACGCACTGAAAAGCTTGGGAGCATGGTTCCAGCGCCAATGCTGCGCATGCACCGTTGCTGGATTCGGTAAAGCTTCGCGAGGCTGGACGGGGCTGCGCCTTGCCATTTTTTTACAATGATCACAGCTCACAGGCAAAGACTAAAAATTGCATAGTGGGAGCATAGTGATGGTGAAGCTTTTTGCCCTCAGCCGACCTGAGGTCTCGACGTCTTGGGGACATAAAACGCACCAAAAAAAAGAAGAAAAATGAAAGGAGTGACAGGTACATGATACGAAATGTTAGGAGGAGAGATGGTACATTAGAAGGAGGGGAAGGATAAGACAGACAGTGCTAGCAGGAGAAGGAGAGAAAAGAAGAACATAATTATGTTATTTGAAACAAGGGTATTGAGCCAATAATAAAAGTAGAAAGGAAAAGGACATATGGAAACGAGTTAAGAGTAACTCTCCACCACTGTAACTAGATACTATAAACAGTCAGAAAGTGCAACAACTAGGCACAAAACTGACAGAGCATTCGTGTTTATAGTATCTAGTTACAGTGGTGGAGAGTTACTCTTAACTCGTTTCCATATGTCCTTTTCCTTTCTACAATAATTTTATTGGGAATAGTATGTGGAGCTGAATTTGGAAGACATGGGGCGAGGCAGATATGATGCTGATAATCAGAGATGGTCATGTGCCCACGACCAGTCGTTGGTCTTCAAATAGCTGGTTCCGGACGGGGACAACTGCATGAGGGTAGGCTCGACACAGGTTGTTTCGGGAACGGACTGGAAGTTCATTGGCCTGTTGGTGTGCGTGAGCATTACATCTCTGGAATGTACTACGGGTGGAGTGGACTGTTCGGTGTTGGGGCTGCTGGGGTGGCAGAATCCTCTGTAGAAGGGGATGTGCATCCGGACAATGCATCTTGTACAGGAGGCACAGTGCTGCAACCATCCGACGAAGAGCGAGACTCGGCAGCCAACATATTGGGGCGATCGCACGGATGGCCGGGGCTTGCACATGGTCGAGTCTTGCAAGATGGGATGAGGCCGCTCCCATCCAGACAATACGACAGTACTCTATCACTGGGCGCACAAAAGCATTGTAGGCTTGGATGCGACCGGGCACGTCTAGGAGGTGGAAAGTCTAACACAAAGCGCCAAGTTGCTGTGTTGCCCGGAGGGCTACGGTACGAAGGTGGCGCCGGAAGGTAAGCTGACCATCAAAACTGATGCCCAAGATTCTGAGCTCCTCTTGTTCCGTCACATTTGATCCGTTGAAGTCAATCGGTGGCATGTCCCATTGGGTGCTGTGGAAGCTGCCAGTCAGTGCGTGGGATTTGGCTGGTTCAAATTTTATTTTCCATTCTTGACCCCAGCGGGAGATGTTGTTGACTGCTAGCTGGAAGGCTTGGGTGGTGGGGGTGATGTTGTCATACAGCGTAGTGTCGTCTGCGAATGAGGCTAGGTCAGCACCGGCTGGTACGTGGTCCTCGCAGTCGTTCACGTACATGACGAAGAGAGTCGGACCCAGAATACTGCCCTGGGGGACTCCAGCCTGAATTGGGAGCCTTGCGGTTGTCTGGCCACAAATGACCACTTGAAGGTAGCGTTCACTGAGGTAGCTGCTGAGCCACTGGTGCAGTTGCCCACGCAGGCCGTATACGTCGGACTTGTGTAGCACACCGGGGTGTGATACGCGATCAAACGCACCAGTGATGTCAATGGCGAGTATGCGTGCTGTGCCTTTCTCCCCGGCTGTATGCAGCCACTGGTGGTGGAGGCTGGTAAGGAGGTCGGCTGCACTATGACCATGGCGAAATCCAAATTGTCTGGTGGAGAGAACGCGGTTCGACCAGGGGAGCACACTCCATGGCCTGGCGGATGACGCCTTTGTATATGCGTGTTTTCGGCCGTGACGCCGAGACCTCAGGTCGGCAGAGTCATCAATTCCCCACCATCACTGCTGCGTCTCAGTGCAGCGCCTGCTCATTAGTTGTCACCCAAGTCTCTGCACCATTGTCTTTCCCTATTCTTTTCGAGCTGGTTAGGTGAGCATAGTAAAAAAAAAAAAAACCCTGGTATTGTGCACATTGAAGTCCCCTGCGAGGATGGTGTGAGCAGCGCTGTGTCGCACAAGGTCAATTGTGTGTGTGGGGGGGGGGTGTCAAGGTACTCTATGAGGGAGACATCTGAGTAGCTTTGACTCTGTAACGATGGCAATATCAAGTGCCTGGTGGAGGAGTAGATGACGAAGGCTTGGAGACCTATGCTCCACAGGTGTCATCTAGGTTATCCCAATCCATGCTGTATCAACTCTT